CGCGAAGACTAACTCGTGGCGTTTGGCGCTAAATTTTGAATAGTGACATGCCTTTCATAATTTTAAGAGAGAAGCATATTCTTTAATATATACAAGTAGATTTAGAGAAGAGGTCCCGATAGCGTAATATTTAGTGCGTTGGAATTTTATGCTAGCGACTTGGGTTCAACCCCCCTTGTGTGCAAATCTTTTTTTTTTTTTTTTTTTACTTTTTCAGCTCGATTTTACGTCTTCTTTCCGGAATCGGACGGAAGACCTCTCGTTGCTCGCAACGAGTTTCTCATCTAGTTAAGGTCTTCCGTCTCCAACGGAAGACCTTCTACTGATTCTGTTGTTTCTTTTCCACTATTATTATTATTATTCTTTTTTTTCTTACCGATTTTGTGCAGACGATTTCTCGAGAACGCCTCGACAGTTTTTCATGAAACTTTCAGCAATGATAGGAAACTATTTGAACTTCATGCGTTTTTTTTTATTTTGCCGTCGTCACTTCCGGTCGCGAGATATAGCCATTTTTCTGTTTTCAAAGTGTCATTTTGTCCGAGAGTGTTCTCGAAAACGGTTGGAGATTGGGTCCTGAAACTTTCAGGGATGATAGATTATGACTCCTAGATTTGAGAAGGATATATGGTTTTTGTTGCCGTTGCGTCCGTCGTCCACCGGAAGTAGTTTAAAAATATGCAAAATTTTATTTTTTTCTTTTTAAAATGTTTCTTATGAAGGCAAATAGAGTGTCTCATGTAATATTATGTCCACCGGAAGTCATTTTTCCCAAACCGGAAGTAGTCCAAAAAATGAGCATTTTTCCTCGAAATTATCAGGGATGATTCCTTCACACTCAGAAAGGAGTTATAGGTCATTTTAAGTACTTCTGGTCACACCGGAAGTGAATTATAAAGACTGGAAGTTGTTTGAAATTGATAGATTTCACTCTTAAATGTGTTCTCACGTATTTTGAATAATTGATCTTAACACTTTTTTTCATTTAAAGTTGTTTTAGAACCTTATCAAAAATCGAACGGAAGACCTACTCGTTGCTCGCAACGAGATCTCATCTAGTTATTATTATTATTCTTTTTTCTTCTTATTTCTTCTCCGGTACTTTTTTGTCCGCGAGTGTTCTCAGAAACTGTTCACCAAACAAAGTTAAAACCTTTTTAGGGTTAATAGGTGTGTTGTGTAGATGTGCGGAACGAAGGTCATTTTGCGCGCATACGCATGCACGTGCGGGCGCGTGAAGTGAGTGAAATGACTGATATAATTTATATGGCCATAACTTTTACATTTTTTGATGAAATACTTTAAAACTCATTATATGAGGATATATTAATAATGTAGATAATATGACATGGTCAATTAATCACGAACTCACGCGCATGCACGTGCGCTGCCTTCTGATTGGCTGAAACAAAAATCTCAATATCTTTTTTGTTTTTTGCGGAAATGCTTTGAAATTTTAAACATAGTCATGCATTAAGATATACTACAGTATGATATATAACAATTTTCACGGAAACACGCGCATGCACGTGCGCTGCAATCTGATTGGCTGAAACTTTAAATGGCTATATCTCCTTTGTTTTGTGACGAAATGCTTTGAAATTTAAAACATAGTCATGCATTAGGATATCCTGCAATATGATATACAAAAAATTTCAAGAAATCACGCGCATGCACGTGTGCTGCAATCTGATTGGCTGAAACTTGAAATGGCTATATCTCCTTTGTTTTTTGACGAAATGCTTTGAAATCTAAAACATAGTCATGCATTAGGATATCCTACAATATGATTTAGAAAAAATTCTTGAAATCACGCGGATGCACGTGTGCTGCAATCTGATTGGCTGAAACTTGAAATGGCTACATGTATAACTCCCATGATTTTCAACTAAACAGGATGGGATTTACAACATAGATAGATATAAGGGCCTCCTACAAGAAGGTATGGTCATCATGCACGTGCACGTACGTGCGTGCATTTGGAATGAGTGAAATTGAATGGGTGATTTTTAATACTTTTGGACTAAATGCTTTAATATAGAGTATATTTAAATAAATAGAAAGTGTAGATAAGACGATATGATCATTACGCACGTGCATTCACATGCGCACGCCTGCAATGTTAAACTTAAAACAAAAAAAGAATATAATTGGTATCCTTCTGGGAAAACGTTGTTAAAGTCAAAAATGCACAGATGTTGTCTTATTTAATAAGACTTACATGGAATATGGCACCAAAAGGGACTAGGGGAGCGTTTGGGGAACATCTGTAACGGTTCCCGTTACAATTAGCACTAGTTTATATTGGTAAAATTTTGTGATTTCACTTTTTCAAGAGTTCAAAGGAATTTTTAAATATACAAATCTGATAGGTAACACTTCTCAAATATATTGTTGCAAGTACTCCTTAAAGGTTCTCCACTGCTGTTAATATTTTATAATTGTGTTAGAATTTGTAAATAAGAATTTGACCGTATTCAAAGATATGAAACGCATGTATTAAATAAACACTAGCCTTTTGTGATATATGTGTAACAGGCTTTTAAGTTCATCTGAGCCACACTTTCCCAACTAATCTTGTGCGCCATGCCTCGGTCTAAAATTTTATTCAACAAAAATAGTGAAAATTTCAACAAAAAATTAGGTCATTTTCTACATTTTAGTAAAATGAATGTAAATTTAGATTTATTTTCGTTTAAAATAAACCTGTTTAAACTTGTTAAAATAAATTTGTTTCAACAATAACTTTTTACTGATATATCTTTATTCAATATCTACCAACACTTAGCAGCTAGACTAGCTGTACGTTCAATACAGATATCTGCCATCAGGCACCTAGCTGCTAGGTTCCCTATGATCTTGAATGCACCCCTGTATTCGGCATTAGGGCCTTTGAGCAGTTATCTGGGGTCTTTTTCGTGCCAGCAACTACAATATGACACATGACCTCAGTTTTTACGTCTAATCCGGGCACTGGTCTCCACATCCTGAAGTGGGATTCAAACCCAAAATCTAATTATTAAAGAGGGTGTTGCAGAAACTCGCGATTATTCCCTATATATCGAGAAGGACATTTAAATACCCTCGTTATGTCTAAATATAGATACAGCTACGTAGAGGACTATGTTTACGGCGGGTATTCCTGCTTGATACAGCAAAACACTTTCGTCATTTTGCACGAAAGAGGTTGGAACAACAAAAAGCACAATGGCTAAAGCACCATTTTGAAAGATATTCTGTAGACATAGTGCGGAAATATTTTTCATGAAATAAAACTGCGTTCCATAAACACACTGTTGGTGCTATATCCAAGACATTTCATTTGTTTCAAATCAAATCTTGGCTACTAATTAAGAGACCAAAATTGCAACAACTACAGTATTTAAAAAATAAATTATTTAAACAATACAGTAACTTTATTTTCCAAGACAAAACTAAATAAAGCATTGATTTTAAGTCACAGCATATCAAGGAAAACAATTTAATCCTGCATTTCTATTACAGATTAGTTATTTAACTTCCAGACATCCCCCCCCTCCCTCTCTCTCTTTCAAAATAAATATAATTTCATTGCACTTCCATTACATTTGGAAAAAAATATGCAAAAATAATCCATACCAGGATTCGAACCCATTCTCTGGTAAAAGTACTAGTTGGAAGCCCCCCGGCATATCCACTAGACCATTTCAGACATGATGATTCAGAAGTGTTATTTAACGTATACATTTTGCATTTCGTTTGAAGAATAATTTTTATTCAATTTTTGCGTTTTTCAAAAATGTGCCTCTTTGAAACAAAAATCGGAAATGGCAGTTTTGAAGAAAATTCCTGCCTCTTTGTGTATATATCAAAATTATTTTGTTTCAAGGAGGCACTTTTTCAGAACAATGGGGATTCCCTATTTAAAAAAGGGAAAATCTGATATATTTTGGCGTAAGACTAATTTTCACATCATTTAATAGCAAATTGGAAGTCAATGGACACCTTCCAAATATTGTTTCTCGTTGTGCTTTATATATTGTTGCATTTGAAAAAAATTAATATGAGTTTCTGCAACATAAAAATTCTTCTTTTAATCTGCTACACATTTAGGGAAAATAACAAAAGAACTGCAACACCCTCTTATATAAGATACATAAATATATTAGAATGTACAATCTTTCAATACAAAAGTAAATTAGAAATAAATCATAAAACATATGCTTGTTACACTCTTTTTTTTATATTTATTTCTTGGACCATCCATTGGTACACAACATAACATCACAGTTGACCTACGGGCATACATTCATACATAACGAACAATATCTAAGACTCACAATAATCAACAATAAATCTATGGAGTTTTCATTATTATTATACTGTAAAATATACAGAAGATATGGAAATTCTGAATTATGCACTATAGAAAATAGTGAAATATATGTACGAATACTGTACTTGATACAAGTAATAATTTTGCGTCTGTTTTGAAAAATAAAAAATCAACTATGAAAGTAATTTTGTTTAAATCATTGTCAAAGTTAAAATGATTTTGAAAATCAGAGAACTGATATACCCTGATTTATGGTGAGCATCAGAAAAAAATTGGACTGCGGAGACCATGACATAATTAGATAAATATTTAGCTAAAAATAAAAAAAAAAAAAATTAGGAAGTACTTAACTAACATGATGTTGAAACAAGTGATCATTTACCATTTTCTGGTACATACAGTCATCAAATGACTGACATGCTAACATTCAACGTAATCTGAATATCAGTTTTCTGGAAATTTTTGTTTACCAGAATAATTATACATTACAACATACATGTTATTATCTTTTCATTTTTACATCTATCAAAATTCTATTATTATTTGTACATGTTTTCAATATGTGCATGCTGACTTTTAAGTAGATTTATGAATCTGATATCTTACCAAATAATACACACTCAGAATTATACTGTATATCCCTTGAATAGCTATAGAGTATATCATATACAGTTTTCTTTAAAAATTATAAATTAATGTAAATTATTTACATCTATAACAAAACATGTTCAAACAAATCACAGCCATACATCTTTTGAAAAACGTTCCCTTTTCCTTCTCAATTCACTACTTTTATGTACAAACAATGCTTAATTCAAATTTTCCTTGTATATGTGCATGCTTGTTTTTGGAGCTGAAATTGGTTTCACACTGAATTACTCAGCTGCATATACATGTAAATCACATCTTTATACAAACTAAAAATAACACGTCTTTTGACAATCTCTTTAGATGACCATTCCTTTAAAATTCAGCCAAGAATAAACATTTTACACCCCTTCAATATGCCAGGAACAATTCACATGTACATTCCCTAAGCGATGAGATCATACACTCTTGACTAGAATTTGTTGTCTCCTAAAATGAACCTAATGGGTTATCTCCCTTGTACAATGAGTGCGGAGTTATCTGTAGCAAGTTTAATGGCAGGGTCAAGGTCACTGAAGTATTGGTGAAGCATGCCCTCCTCGGCCGACAGTCGTCCTGGTGGGTTACAGATCAGGAGCCGCTGAAAGGGAGAGCAGGTAAAAATAAAATATATAAAATAGATAAAAATAAAAGACAGAGGAATTATTAATCAATATTTAAATTACATGTAAACAGTGTTGAATTAATTGTAAAAAAAAATCAAGTACAGTCAAACATCATTTACTCAAATCTGAGAAATAGAACTTTAGAAATATACTGAGATATCCAATGATTTGAGATAGCAAGGTTAAAATACATAAAGTAAAAGTCGAGATGATATATAAATCATATCAAAATATCAATGGTTTTAATGAGACAATGAAGTTCATGTGTATTTAAAATTAATTAAGAATTCAGTAAAAAATTAGAACTGAATCTGATGCATAATTCAACTTTTTCATATTTTAACCATAAACAATAGTTTCATTTATCAATGTTTGTCCAAATTGTTAAATAATATTACCTGTAGGAGGTCACGTCCCTTTGGATTTAACTTTGGGACGACTTGCATCCATGTTGTACTGACATGATACATAGGGAATGGCTGCAAAATTCAGAGGACTACCTCGTCAATAGAAACAAAGGGAACAGATGCCACTGATTTGTCACTACATGTAGTAATTACAAGGTTACATATATAGAGTACTGTAAACGTATTACATTTAGCGGCGTATTCTTTTTAGCGATTTTGGCGGAAAGCAGAGTCCGCTAATTCAAGTACATCGCTAAATGTCTTGTACATTAACTTTTATAATTAGCAACTTCAGACAGCGCTAAATCAAATCTACAGTTACGCTAACTTGTTGAAAATTGAATTTTTGCCAAATATCGTACACGTCAAATGTAATACATTAACAGTACCTTGTATATTAGGTTGAAGATTGGTTCAGTATCACATATGCATCACAGAAAAAAATTAAACTT